CAAAATGCTTCATGAAAAGCCCTTCCCATGCAGCTCTCATTTGCATACAAATCTTATGGGCATTTGGTTGTCGCTTCTCATTGCCAAACAAGCGAAATAATAATTCTGACTTCACAATTTTGAATTTCCCATTCTTCTCAATCAATTCTTCTACCTCTTCTGATGTTGGTACGTACATAGGTATGTTGAAGGAATCTACCATTTCATCCCTCATTGAGCCCTTCATTAGCCAAATAAATTACTTTGTTAAAAATCAAAGATTTATGTTAATAAAATAATTGTTAAATATTCAAAAGTTAAGGCTGATATTTATTACCTTATTGACCATCTCATCAAGAACATATCCCATGATATTTGCTATAGGTTCAAATTTGTTCTTAGAATTTGATGGAACACAGAGAATGATAAGAGTCATATACCTCCGGGAACAAGCTCTAAGGCTCTGAAATTCAAGAAGCTTTCAATGTTTCTTGCAAATTGTGCAGAATATGCCTCTGCAACTTCCTTGTCTACTTCACTTGTAAAGTAAATTTTGCCTTTATCATAGGCGTGAGAGTTCTTTGCAACTATTTCTTTAGGCACATTTGACAGCCAATGAAGTGCATAAGATGAGTTGAAAATATGAATACTTGATTCTGGAAACAATCTGCCATAAACTGAACCAGGCATTGCAGTTGCATGGTATTGCTTGTCATCAGGAAGGGAGTTGAAACGTGAGTTGAAATCATTACCAACATGGTCATCGAAAAACACTTGTAATTCAAGTGATGAGTCTATTGTGCTATGTGTTTGAGATTGAAATGTGAGGTTCACAGCGTCTATAATGTTTTGAACTGTAAAGAATGTATTGGGTCCAACTGAACATCCCAAATCTGCTATGTGGAAAACTTTAGAGGTATCTTGTAAAAGGGTTTCAAGATCAAGAATCTCAAGAATGACTTCTTTTGCAATGTGTTTGGTAGTATCTGCTCCAGTTCGCTGCAAAAGCCCATCATAAAAATGAAAAAAGAAGTTATTAAAAAGGAAAACAAAAAATAAAATTAGTGAGAATGAAAAACCTGATGGTTGGAATTTTGAGCATAGCTATATTGGCCATCTCCCCCATTCATTGGGAATGCTTCATAAGATTGGTTGCTTCTTTTCCTTTCCATCTTCGTTATGTTGAGAGCGTTTGAGAAACATGTATCTGGTGACACATCTATGCTATTTATTGATTACATAAACACAAACATTATTTCATTAAGTGACCGGTAATTTGGCACCTAGCTAGTGGTTCGGCCCAATATTCTGATCCTTCTTATTATTGTTGTCAAACTCATGAGTTAACTCTCTGGGTTTAATATTTTTACAGTTTCAGCTTATGAAATTATGTCACTCGCTTTTAAACTCATGCTAAGTATAAACTTGATTGAACTTAAGAGTTTCTTACCGAGTTTATCGCTTTTATGTTTTTAACTTACAAAATTATATCAACTTACTCTTAAATCTATGCTAAATTTTTGGATTTAGTTATATTTATTGACTTTATATATAAATTTTATAGAAATTTCTTTATTGAATATGGTAAATTATGAATGTTAATTGAATTAATTTCAATTATTTAAATTTAAAATATACTTAAATGAAATTGTTGTCATTTTTATATATTAATTATTTGATTATATACTTTTAATATCAATTTATTAATAAAAATAAACTCTAACAATTTTACTATATGAGTTTACATCCCTATCATGGGTTTGTATAAATTCACGAGTTTAACAATCTTGCGTCTCTAATCACCTAAGCACATGGATATTATCATATCCATATCCAAGCACGATGTATCCAATGTGATTCCTTCATATTTACAAAAATTAAAGCATATCTGGGGGGAGATCTAAGAGAAAAAACAATGGGCATAAAATTATGATACGAACATCATCAACTGTTTCTCCCTTTTTTTAAAAAAAAAAAAAAAAAAAAAAAAGAAAGCGACGTAGAAACAAACCTTGGAAGAGTCATTGCGGTATCCATGCTACACGATCCCACGGCCAAGAAAGCAACGTTTGCTCGCGGACTTTGTGAGGATCTGGAGTTTATATAATTAATTCAATGTGACTTTATATAAAAATTGATGTGAGATTCAAGGATTAGTACTCCTATGATATTCGATGCGAAGTCACGAAGTCAAATTGATCATGATTGAAATAATATTCCCTATATTCTTAAATATAAAACTCATTTTGTATTCTCTTTATCCTAAATATAAAACTCATTTTATAGTATAATTTACACTACAAAATGAGTTTTATATTTAGAACCAGGGGAGTATAATTTAATTAAAATAAAAAAAGTCATATTTGACTATGCATGATTTCTAGCATTAATGTACACATAGATAGACTGTAATGTTATTTTTCTTTATTAATGGATTAAAATAGCGGCATATGAATCTCTTCGTTTTGAAAATTTCACAGCCATATTGATACACCAAGCTTCAGCATGTGTAAATTTTGCACACATGAAGCTGGAACTAAAAGAAGGAATTAGAAATGTACTATTTTTATTTTTCTTAAAAAAAAAATAAAAACAACTTGGTTCTAAGCTCATCGGGGGTAAAAGAAAAATACTACCTCCAATCCATAATTTACGACTCAGTTGACTAATTTGAGAAAGTTAAAAAAATTACTAAATTATGTATGTTATAGGAAGATCACGAAAATAGACCTTAAAAAATAAAAAATTGCACACAAGGACCTATTCGTAAAAATTGTTATCAAATCTATACTATTGTTCTCAAAACCTATACTAATATGGGAGAATTATAATGAGGTCCCAAGCAAGGAAAAAAAATTAAAAAACAAGTCCTAGAGGTTGTCATTCTCACTATAGAACTTGTCATTATAGGCTGTACAGGTTGTTATTGGGACTTTTTGATAATTATTTTTCTTCTGTGGAACTTGATTGTAATTCTCCCCACTAATATTGTCATGAGTCCCTATTTGTAATTTTTCTATCTTGACAGTTTTTTTTTTCCCGTGATTTTCCCATCATGTTAGAGCATTTATATTTATTCTTTTTCTCCGAACTAATTTGTCTTACTTATAAGTTGATATATAATGTAATGATACACATAACATTTTAAAGAGATCATATAACTTATGCTATAATTAAATAATTTAGTAACTTTTTTAATCCTTCTAAATTAGTCAATTGAGTCTTATATTAGGGATTAGAGGTAGTATTGTATACAATCCAATTTGACACTCTTGTTTGATTCGGGCAACAAGAGGATAAGATTCAAGATATTGGAAGCTAGGAGTACTGACTAGAAATCGGAGATCCAAACTGATCTTGGATCTCAAATCTAAGTTTCCTCTTGTCATCTTCTTGCTGTTCATTTTTCTGGTGGCTTGTTTTGCAATGGAATTTTTTTGTTGTTCATCATGTTATGTTAGGCTAAATTTACTTCACAACCTTGGCCAAAAAAGAAGCATGATGAAGGAGGTATTTTGGTATTTTACATAAAGAACTAATTTCATTTTTATGCTTTACTACTAAATTGATGTCTCAAAATTATTTTGGGTAAATGAAAGTTATGTAGCTACAGTGGTCTTTTAATTAAATTTTCCCTTTTGTAAATGGTGGTTGATTGATTTTTTTTAGCAACACATATGATTGTTGACTTATGTTGACATTTTGAAGCAAAATTAGAAAGCTGTTTGTCCTTTTTATTATCTAGTTCGTCCTCCTTTTTATTTTTTTATTTATATAAAGCCAAATTTAATGTACTATGTTTTTTTATAAGATTCTATTAACTAAATTATACCGTTTAAAAAAACAGTTAAAATTACTTTAAAACAATAAATATGTGCAAATTAAATCTCTTTTTTCTAAGTATGTCCTTATTTAATGAAGCAATAAATAAGAGATAGAAATATTGGCAACGATATAAATGATGAAAGAGAGTGAAATATGAGAAAAAGATGATGATTTAGGAAAGAGAATAAAAAATTAATTAGGAACAAAATTGGTAAAAATGCATTTAATGTTCAGATAATTTTTAGTACGATCTTATAAAAAGAAACATACCAACTTAAATTTTGGAGTTTTGTATATAGTACCGGAGGCATTATCTTTTTAAACGAAACTAGTTCATCCAACTCCATCTTCAACCTTTGAGAGTTAGAGTATTCCTTTTCTTTACATGCACACACAACCTTTGCGCATGCACAGGCACACCTGTCTTTACACGGACATTCTCTCATCCATTATTTATCCTATTATACACGAGCACGCCTCTTCTTTAATGCTGTTTGTTTAACATAGTGATGATCATCAAATGGACGGTCAAGCACGCCTCAACTATAACTTTTTTTTTTAAAAATAATTTTTATTAATTGAAAATTTTAAATTTAACTATTGATAATGTATTTAGATGACGTAGATCTTATCATAATGATGAGTATCATGCTTCCTATTGAAGTAGGGCACTAGGGTGACATTGCCCCATTTAGTCAAAATTTTCTTAAAAAGTTCCAGATAATAACTGTTCTTGTACCAATACTTTTGGATAAAATTGACCTTTAACTCTTATAAATAATGCCATGTTGAAATCCTTTGAGAAACTTTAGTTATGTATAGAGAGATAGAAATTGAATAATGATAATTGAATTCTAGGGGACACATTCTAAGTATGATTGAATTAAACCACCATTCAAGAGCTGTACCATCAAGTCTATTATTTATGTACAATAATGTCAAGTTTGGGCTATATAATTAAATATTGGTAATTATGAGTAACAGATATCAATAATTTCTACAGTTCACGTTATCTTCCAGCTGGATATAACACGAACACGATAATATTTTTTTAAACAAAATTGTACAAATATGATGATATAGGAAAAAGTTTGCTATGATTTTGTCAAGTCACGATACAAGATCAACTTCACTAGCGTTTCTAAGAATTGAACATAGACTTGAAGACATTTATTTAATTTGTGTCACAATAATCCTCATTTGCGCTTCATGATAAATAACTCTCCCAATTCCTTGGAACTTGGGTCTGCAAGGAAGTTGGATTCTGATGCCAATTTCTTCTCAAACTGTACAAAAACATTATCCACAGTGTCTTGCTCAAAGTTTTCCTTAAAAAATCCTTCAAACGCAGCTCTCAAGTGCATACTCGAACTATGAGCATCTATTTGATACGTATCGTTGTCAATTAGGCGAAATAATAATTCTGACTTCTCAATTTTGAAATTCCCATTCTCCTTAATCAATTTCTTCACCTCTTCTGATGTTGGAACGTAGATGGGAATGTTGAATGAATCAACCAGTTCTTCACTTATTAAACCCTTAATTCATTTGCAAAATAAGTTACTTGAAGGAGGATAATCAATAATCATTTTACATAACAAATCAAAATCAATGAGATGAGATAAACAACTAATAATACTCAGTTCTATATGACATATAACATCCTTTGCCCAAAAATTTAGCAGTTTTGTTGTTTCCTTCTTGTTGGTTAGCATAATCAATAATCACCTCAGAAACTTATAAACAGACATAAAATATAGAGTAACTGTTCATTATTTACCTTTTTGGCCATCTCCACAAGAACATCGCCAATGATATTTACAGAAGCTTCGAATCTATTCAAGGAATTTGGTGGGACACAGAGAATGATAAGAATCATGATGCCCCCAGGAACAAGTTCTAAGACTCTTGAATTCAGGAAGCTTTCAAGGTCTCTTTCAAATTGTGCAGAATATGCCTCTGCAACTTCCTCATCTTCACTTGTAAAGTAAATCTTCCCTTTATTATAGGCTCGAGAGTTCTTGTCAACTATTTCTTTAGGCACTTTTGAGAGCCAATGAAGAGTATAAGATGAGTTGAAGACATGAATGCTTGATTCTGGAAACAATCTGCCATGAAAGGAACCAGGCACAGCTGCTGCAAAATACTGCTTGTCCTCAGGGAGGGACTTCAAAAGTGTGTTGAAATCATTACCAGCATGATCATTGAAAAACACTTGAAATTCAACTGAGTCTTTATTGTATTCTTGAGATTGATATTTAAGGTCCACGGAGTCTATAATGTTTTGAACAGTGAAAAATGTGTTTGGTCCAACTGAACAGCCCAAATCTGCTATGCGAAAAGTATCAGAGGAATTCTGCGGAAGTGTTTCCAGATCTAGCTTCTCAAGAATGGTCTCTCTGATAATGTTTTTAGTAATATCTGTTCCTCTTCGCTGCCAAACAACATCAAACTTCATTAGCTTTGTATGAGGCAACCTACGATTTAGATGCAAACATATTTTAAGTATTGTTGTGACGAACACCAGAAGATTACAGTTTTGAAGTATATCAAGTGGCGATGGGGGCTCTATCTTTTGAGTTGCTCGACAAGAAAATCAGTCTGAATGAAATTTTAAAAACTACGGACAAGAAGCAGAAGAAGAAGAAGAAGAAGAAGAACCTGATACATGGAATTTCGAGCATAACTTTGCTGCCCATCTCCACCATTCATTGGAAATGCCTGATATGATTTGGAGACTTTTTGGCTTTCCATTGCCATATGATAGAGTAATTGTTTGCGCATCGCGCTTGTATGAACATGCGCACTTGTATATTTGAAATTTGTATGCAAGTATTTTTTACTGGAAGTGGATTTTTTCTTGGGGGGGGGGGGGGGGAGGGAGGCTACCGTGAAAAGGAATCGATAATTGTAGAGGCTGCCATTATTTTTTCGGAGTATAGCTATATTTGTCGGGGCAGCAAGTGGGCACTTTTCTCAGTACAACACTAAACGCAGAACATGACATTAAATGCAAGCATTTTCCATGGCAGAAATTTTAATGTTCAAGTCTCCTTCGATTGACAGTGTGTTTGGATAGAAATCAAACTATAGTTTTAGAAGGGATTTTACGGTCTAAATATGTGGAGGACTTTGGGTCCGTTTGGGACCACGTTTGGGCCTCCAAATGTGTGTCTCAATCTGGCTTTTAATGTAACTGTGGTTTTACATGTTTGGATCTGCGATGGGACTATCTGACTTTTGTCACTGAAACGGACTTATACAAGAAGCTCAAAGAAGCTGCTTTTCTCCAATCTGACTTCTGTAAAAGTCAGAATGAAAAAAAAGTTACTTCTCCACTGCTAATCCAAACACACCATTTATCTCGATTTGCGGAAAAGTACTTCCGAAAAGTACTTTTCAGAGTATCCAAACACTCCCTGAATCCAACCTCCATTAATTGCAAGCCACCGTTGTTGATTGATACATTATACAATATAATCCGTTCCTATACATAAGATCCCAAATTTTAAATTGATTTTGTTCTTTTTATATATAAGATCTTACTAAAAATTGTCTAAACATTAAATGTGTTTCTTCCTTTTTTTAAAAAAGTAATTTGAACTATTTAAACAACATCATTTAGTTAATAAGATCTTATAAAAAAAACCAAATGGAATATAACTCAACAATAAGTTATATTAGGAGATTCGCCTTATACAATATATACAACTCTGTTCCTATTTATAAGTTTTGTAGGAAAAAAGTTTGTTTCTAAATATAAGTTATTTGTAGGACAATTAATGAGCATTTTCTAGTTTTACCCTTGTTAACTTAAATAGGTGAGAGAGAATATAAAACATATTTTTAATACAATTTTTTTTAACAAAAACAAATATAAAAATTATAATACATTTTTAGTTTGCGGGTTTGAAGTACAAATAATTTATCAATAAAAAAGAGTGATCTTTCACCATACTGTAGATGCTCTTAATGTAAGGAATCGTGTACAGGGAGTCATCGATCTCTCTTTCTTCGTTTAGAAGTTGCATTTCCCCCCTGTATCTGATGGTAATAGTTGAGAAATAAAATCCTTCTTTCACTCAGGAAAAAAAAAACAAAAAGAAAAAGAATAGAGTGGCATAACCTAATATAAAATGGAGGCACCTCTTTAAATACTCTATTCCATCTTTTTTTTCCCCTGACCAAACCATGTGGATTAAAATGTTGGTCAAAATTGATGAAACAATAAATATGTAAAAATTCTAAGTTTCTTTTAAAAGAAAAAACCCTGATTTATGGAGAGCATAGGGAAAATGATAAGAAAATTATTAAAATAAAGAGAATAATACTTTTGGAAATGAGATAATAAATATATTAAGTACTAAAATAAATAATTAATAGGAGAAAAATAGAAAATTAACTAAAAAAATTTAAGACATCTTGTAAATATTTTTTATAGATAAAAATACAATAAAAATGATAATTGTTTCTTATAAAAAAAGTTACAGTTATTTTTTTATTGACAACATCTACACTCGCTACCAAAAACAAAACTTTCCGCTGAAAGTCAACAGCATTGTCAACAAGTTAGTTAAGAATAACATGGGCTATGTAGATATAATTTAGAAAAACGTTATATATATATATATATATGTGTATGTATGTATGTATGTATGGACTCATATCTAGTTATGATTATAATTTTAATAATAAAAATGTTAGTTATTATTTTAAATTGATTTTATTCTTTTTATAAGATCTTACTAAGGATTGTCTAAACATTAAATATCTTTCTTCTTTTATTACTTTTAAGGGAAAATTAATCTTTTAATCCTTCAACTTTTAACTTAGTTAAAATTCAGTCCCTCAAGTATGATTCGGTGTAACTCAGTCCTTGAACTTTTAACTCGCTTAAAACTCAATCCCTTATCTTTGAATAATTTATATTTTTGTCCTTTATCATGACAACTCATCTCCAATCATCATCCAGCTGGCAAAAATTTATGACTCAAGGTCCACGTTACATACGAATCAGTATGGAAATAAAAGAGAAAGGGAAATCAAACAAAGGAATCGGGGAAGAAAATCAGCAGTGGCCGGGCGATTAGGATCAATAAATTCTAGCCATTAACGCTGGTTTTGATATTAATGTCCATTGCTGGCCTCCCTTCATTCTGGTAGTTGATCGATGATTCAATCCAAGTAGCAGTCGCCCCTGCTGCCGTAACTGAAGCTTTTGTTACTGACACTGTGCTTCTTGTGGTTGCAGTGAGAGTGAGAGTGAGAGTGAGACCTGTTCTTCCCCTTGGTGGCATGAGTGTTTACACATGCATTCAGTTGAACATGCGTTGTTGTGGTTGTGCTTTCCATGGCGGCCGTGCTAGTTGTGGGTCAAAATCAAGCCATGGCATCATACTTCCATCATAGATTTTAAAAATGACCATTATCATGGATTGAGCTTCTGGGTCTTATACTAATAGAGAACTCTTTTGAAGCAACGCGACTCATTTCCTGGGACGTGAGTCGCAGTATTTTCCATGGCTTTTCTCCCAAACCTTGAGTCTAGCTAATATACCAAAGGCAACGGGGATATTTTGGATTGAAAATTCAAAAGATGTTCTCTACAAAAGATTCAGGGTTCAACGATTTGTTTCATACAACAACCTTGGTATAACTCAAGGTCCTAATATCCAGTGGCGAGTCGCGATTTTCTTCTCCGATTCCTTTGTTTGATTTCCGCTTCTTTTTTCTTTCCATGCTGATTCATATATGACATGGACCTTGAGTCATAAATTTTTGCCAGCGAGGATGATGATTGGAGATGAGTTGTCATGATAAAGGGTAAAAATATAAATTATTCAAAGATAATGGATTGAGTTTAAAGCGAGTTAAAAGTTCAGGAACTGAGTCACACCGAGTCATACTTGAAGAACTGAGTTTTAATAGAGTTAAAAGTTGAAGGATTAAAAGATTAATTTTCCCTACTTTTAACTAATGTTAACTGTCTAGACAGCATAATTTAGTTAATAAGATCTTCTAAAAGGAGCCAAATAGAGTATAACTCATCAATAACTTACATTGGGACAAGTACCTACGTTATACAATATATACAACTTTGGTTCTATTTATAAGTTTTGTAGGGAAAAAGTTTGTTGCTAAATATAAATCACTTGTAGGGTAATTGATGATTTTTTTTTTTAGTTCTACCCTTAGATGAGGGAAAATATAGAAAATATTTTTAATAGCATTTCTTTAACAAAGATAAATATAAAAGAAATTATCAATTTAATGTATTTTTTAGTTTGCTGTTTGAAGTACAAATGATTTGTAAATAAGAACATGCTGGTTTTTCATCATACTATAGATACTCTTAATGTGAGGAATCATGTATAGGTAGTCGTCTCTCTTTCTTCGTTTAAAAGTTGTATTTCTCCCCTGTATCTGAAGTTAATAGTTGAGCAATAAAACCCTTCTTTCACTCCAAAAAAATAAAAAAAGAAAAGAAAAAAGAATAGAGTGGTATAACCTAACATAAAATGGAGGCACTTCTTTCAATACTTTATTCCTCCATCTTTTTTTCCTGACCAAACCATGTGGATTAAAATGTTGGTCAAAATTGATGAACATAATAAATATATAAAAATTGTAAGTTTTTTTTTTTTTAAAGATCCTCATTTATATATGGAGAGCATAGGGAAAATGATAAGAAAATTATTAAAGTAAAAAGAATAATACTTTTAAAAATGAGATAATAAATATGTTAAGCATTAAAATGAGTAATTAATAAGGAGTAAAACAGAAAACCAACTAAAAACATTTAGACGCTTTTGCAAATATTTTTATAGATAAAAATGATAATTGTTTCTTATTAAAAAAAAAGAACAGTTATTTTTTATCGACAACATCCTCACTCGCTACCAAAAAAAAAAAAAAACTTTCCGCTGAAAATCAACAGTACTTTCAATAAGTTTCTTTTTTTTCTTTTTTTTTTTTTAAGTACTGTCGATGAGTTAGTTAAGAGTAATATAGGCTGTATAGATATAATTTTTAAAAACGCCATATATAGGCTCATATCTAATTATAGTTATAATTTTAATAATAGAAATGTTAGTTACTATCTCCTATCCTAATTATAAAACCCCGTTTATAGTCTACAAATAGGGTGTTGTAATTAGGATTGGAGGTAATATTATTTTGTTACACATAATAATAGTTGAAGTATTAATAATAATTCCCACATAAAAGCCGTCCGCATTTAATGTTGGATATTATTTCAAACAACATTGCATTTGATGGGAAGATAGCTATACGTAAAAAAAAAAAAGAAAAAGAAATCTTAATTATAATATACCACCTTGGTCTTCAGTATAAAATTAAATAACTAAATTACAGAACTTTAAAAAATTTGTTAAGTTAATTATTTATAATAAATAAATGTTGTCTTATCTAAAATATTTCTATCAATCGTGTGTATTGAAATTATCCTTTCATGAAAACTTTCTAACAGGTGCAATCCTTATGAGGATTACTTGGGGCAAAATAAATAAATATTATATTAGAGACAAAATAGATTAAAATCTTATATTTATGACACAATTAAATCTCCACCTTATGAGTTTTTATTACACGTTTCTTTATCTTATACTACTTCCGATCCTAATTATAAGACATTATTTATAGATTACAAATAAGATCTTATAATTAAGACCAAAGGTAGTAGTTATTGAATCAAGTTGCCATGACCTTAAGTTGATTAAACTTGATCCTTTAAG